TCCTAAACCCACATTTCATTGCTTCAATTATTATTATTGTTAAACTGTGTGTGTGGCATTTTAGACAGGGTCTTGCGATGTTTCTCCTGCCTCAGGCTTCCATGTAGCTGGGACCACATGCGTCACTGTACCCAGCATTTTAAGGTGGGCTGGGATTTGAACCCAGGCTTCTCACATAACATCAGCCTGCCAAGGAGCAGTGTCCAGCCCACATTACCACAGCTGAGCCTTTTGCACTTTATTTGCTGCCTTTACATATTTGAGGTGCCTTTGTTCCAGATTTTCCACATAGGGTGCTTTAAATATGAGTCACCAGCTAAACTGAAATCAAGCACGTAGAAGAGAAAGAGGGGTAATTAGACATATGGGGGTAAGTTATATCCCAATACACAAATGCATAATTATTATAGTGGTTGATTCTTGTTTCTCCCAAATTCAAATCCACTTTGAACCTCAGAAGGTGACCTTATTTGAAAATAAGGGCCTTTGCAAATGTAATCAGCTAAAGATCTTGAGTGTTTTAAAGTCCTTGGTTTTTGGGTGGGCCCTAGATCTAGTGACTTTCCTCTTCAGAAAAAGAGGTGAGATCATAGAACGGCACAGAGATGGCAACATGAAGATGAAGGTGGAGATCTAAAATGACTTGTCTGTACATCGAGGAACACCAAGGATTGTTGGCAACCAGTAGGAGTTAGGAGAATGGCACAGAAGAGATTCTCTCTCAGAACTTCCAGAAGGATTCAACCTTGCCAACACCTTGAATTCTAGTCTCTTAGACCATGAGAGAATACACTGCTGTAGTGTTTTTTTTCTGGAGAGAGATTTTTTTTTTTTTGGCCAGAGAGACAGAAAGAAAGAGACAGAAAGCAAGAAATCACTCCCTGGGGAGATGGCCACACTGCAATCCCTTCTTCTCCATTCTCCTCTCAGAATTTTAGGCACACACACCCAACCTGAGTTTTAAGCCATCAGGTCTGGGACTTGAAGTATGGTTGACTACATGGTAGTCCTGTGACATAACCATTACACCATCTACTGGTCCCACATTTCTGTAGTTTTAGGTCAGTTCATGGTCACTTGTAATGGCAGCTCTGAAAAATGAATAAGGGAAATTAACATCTGCAGAAGGTGGTCTTGAAAAGACCTTCAGCCTTTGCTACCTGTACTTGGTTGGCTGTGGACATTTTGATATCCTCACCTAATTCCTTCAGCCCATCTTTCACCTTACCCTGACCTTCACTGGCATTTAATACTACCTCTCTTCCTCTTATTGATCTTCTAAGCTGTGAGACTGGGAAGGACTGGAGTCAGGGAAGGTGACTGGATAGGAGCTTTGGATCATGTCCTGGTTAGATTTAGGGTTGGCACTGGGATAAAGGATCAAGGACAAGCATTGGGTGAGCCTGTCTGACCACATGTCATTTGGCAATTTCTTTTTTTTAAATGTTTTTTAGAGAGAGATTTTTGCTATAGGGTATGTGCACTCACTGGAGATAAAGAGACAGAAAATGAGAAATCACCCCCCAGGAGGAATGGCCACGCTGCAATCCCTTCTTCTCCAATCTCCTCTTGGGATCTTGGGCATGCACGCACACATGTCGGCACGTTTTGAGTCGCTGGGTCCAGGACTCGAACCACAGTCAACTATGTGGGAATTCAGTGATGTAACTATTATGTCATCTGCTGATTTCACTTGGCAATGTTTTTAAAAGCAGAAGTCCAATGGTCCAAAGGGTGTGTTTTGCAACTTGGATGTCTAATAGCCCTCACTTGGTCTAGCAGGTAGAACAATGCCCTCCCCACCAAAGATGTGCATGTCCTAATTCCCAGAACCTGTGGATAAGTCTTTACACGACAAAAGTGTTTTGTCAATGTCCCCAAAACCAAAGATCTGGAGGTGGAGATATTATCCTGGATTACTTGGGCCCAAGGAATCACAAGATTCCTTGAAAAGGGGTAGGAAAGTCAAACACTGAAAAGGAGATGGTTGATGGGAACAGAGAGAGGGATTTGAAGATATGCCACTGGCTTGGAAGATGGAAGGAGGGGCCAGCAGCCAAAGCATGCAGGCAAGTTCCAGAAACTGGGAAAGGCAGGGACACACGCTCCCCTAGAGCCTCCCAATGGAATGTTACCTGGCTGATGCCTTGAGTTTGACTCAGTGAGACTCATTTTAGACCTCATGCATCTATTGCTGTAGGAGAATAAGCTGGTACACGAGTCACTATGTTTGCAGCGAGTAGTTACAACACTCACGGGAAACTAATGTATGTGTCTTCTTGGGGGCCTCTGAGAGGTTCCTCTATTGACAGGGGGCCACTGCTACTCACCGCTCCCCAGTTTTCACCTCTAGGGAGAGCTTTATGAGCTATTATCAAAAGCATGTGGAAAAACCACCACTACTAGAAAGGACAGTCCTCAGTCTTGGGTAGCCTTATAACTCTACACTGGACCATCTTTGGTGGCACGAGGAAACGCTTGGCCTCGGCGTGTTTCCTAAAGCAGTGCAGAGCTGCAGTACTTTGAAACGCTGGCTTTCACACTCCCTATGATGTATCTCTGCTTCCCAGCTGTGCCCTGTCCCATGCACACATGCTCAGGCTGGGGGTGTCACACACACTCATGGATTCACAGGCCACCCCATGCACACACCCTCTGCCTCCTCCTCTTGCCTCTCAAAATCACTGCTTCAAGAACTTTCCAGATCTTTACCTATCTACCTATCTCCACATCTAGCTAGCTTCTATCCATTGTCTATTGATCAATCATCAATCTATCTTAACCTTTTTTTTTTTTTTTAGACCACAGATTAGTTTATTTTTAACACCCATCATGCCATGAATTCATAGGGAATAGGTTCCAGTAGCTCAGGATCCTTTCCATTGGTTCTCACAAAGTGTGCTTCTCTGGGTGGAGCAGGCTGGCACTTTAGTTGAACCCAGGTAACATTCTCTTTGGCTTCTTTCTTTTTCTGGTCATTTTCCTTCACACGTTTTAGGAAGCTATCTCTGCTCTTAGAATGCTAAATATGCTCAATACGCACATTGATTCTCTTGGCAAGAATCTTGCCCTTAACTTGTTTGTTCACAACAATGCCAACAGCATGCTGGGTAACATTGTAGACTCTTCCAGTTTTGCCATGGTAACATTTGTGGGGCATTCTTTTTTGAACACTACCCATTCCCTTAATGTCTACATTATCACCTTTCTTGTAGATTTGCATATATGTTGCCAAAGGAACAACTCCATGTTTTCTAAAAGGCCTAGAGAACATATATC